AGGGGCATACCCTATTTATAGACCATGGGAAGAAGTCCTCTTTGAAGCGAAATCAGAGCTACATAGTCCAAGTAGGCTAAGCGAGGATAAATTGGATTATGCTTTTTTTTTGAAGTTGTTTATTTTCTCATTAGACATGAGGATGGCTAAGATGGTCTACATTCATTCCTAACTCAAAGTAGAGGCTTTAGAAGTTATTAAGAATTCAATCGGAGATTATACTTATCAACATGGTTTTGAAAATTGGATTGGACCGGGTGGTTGGATTGGTTAACCCGAGAATGGGTTAGGCAATTGGTTATGTTTCACCCTAAACCGCTCATAGTCCAAAAATCATTGATTTGGTTAACGACCTACTGACCTGGGTGGTTGATCCATCAACCTAGACAATGGCTTGGCCGTTTTTTTATTTTTAATTATTTTTAAATCAGAATGGGTTGTCCATTCGAACTTGTTGCTGCCAAGGGTGGGTTGAGGGAAACAAGGTAATTTCACTTCCTTAGCCGAGGATTGATGTGTCTGACCTGAGGATAAGAGAGCAAGTTAGAGGCCCCKGGTGTTATCCCAGGGGCGGAGACTTCGATGGTCAAGTTAATCAAGTGCACAGAGGGGGTCGGATGAGGCATGAGGAGAGAGCTCAAATGAGGTCACCCGAGAGTAAGAGAGTTGGAGAGCAGGAATTAGCCATGTGATCATACCAAGAGAGGGACGCCCCTATTTATACTTGACTTTGCCCACTCTCGAGACCGTGATGGACGAGGTCCGGTAGAGAGCTGAGTGGAGACCTCGGCTTCGGCTGAAGAGAGTGCAACGACATCACTAGGAGGCGCGGGATGGCATGTCAGGCGAGGACCTCAGCTTGGTTAGAGAGAGCGTCATCACAGAAGCGCGAAGGCGTTGGCCTCGGCTGATGAGGGCTTCCCTTTGTTGTCTAGTGGCAGCTGTTTTGAAGTTGACTCCGTTAGGAGGAGGGTCATGGAGGGCCGAGGGCTAGGTATCGTGCCTTGTACGGGTGTGAGGTGCTTGCGCTCCTCCGCTATGTGCTTCAAGGGTGTCGCAGTAGACCCATGCATAGGACGGGCATCAATTGGTCGTCTTGTACAAGGCACGATACCTTGCCCTCGGCTTTCCATGACCTTCCTCATAACAGAGTCAATTGCAAAGAAGTTGCCACTAGATAACAAAGGGAAGCTCTCGTCAGCCAAGGTCCTTGCCCGATACGCCATCCCGTGCCTCCCATTGATGTCATTGCACTCTCTTCGACCGAAGCCGATGTCTCCACTCAGCTCTCCGTAGGACCTCATCCATCATAGCCTCGAGAGTGGGAGGCAAATGATGTAGGCGCATGTGGTAGGCCCTAAGATGGTGCCACGTGGCATCGACCAGATGCGATCCTTGCCATCCGCTGCTAACCACCTCCAACCACTCCCAGGGCAAAGTCAAATATAAATAGGGGCATCCCTCTCTTGGTAAGATCACTTGGTTCATTCCTACTCTCCAGCTCTCTTGCTCTTGGGTGACCTCGTCTGAGCTCCCTCCTTAGGCCTCGTCCGACCCCCTGTTTGCACTTGACTAACTTGACCGTAGGAGTCACCGCCATTGGGATAACACCCAGGGCCTTTGACTTGCTCTCTTATCCTCAAGTCAAACACATCAGCCCTCGACTAAGGAAGTGAAATTACCTTGTTGCTCTTGACCTATCCTTGGCAGCAGTAGAACTGATCCTCCAAAATGGTTCTATGTTCGATCCAATTTTTAAAACCTTGCCTATCAATACTTCTTGAAAGAGTTGGGCTGGTTTATATAGAATCAATCATGTAATCATTAGGTGTACTTTAGACTGGCTGCATGTATAGGATCTTACTAGGACTTGGTTTGTGAGTGCTTATTCGAATATAGTTGGGCCGRCCTAGTTTTGATTATCCATAATGGAGCGATTTAATTTAGACTAGCTATAAAAGAGTCCTCTTGACTAGAATCCAAATTTGCTCTTCATAAAGTGCACCTCACACCAACCTTACATATGTGCATCTCCAAGTGAACTTGGATTTGGTCCTTATAGAACCGTCCTCATAGCCTTTCCCAGCTTTGAATTGRGAATATCTCCCCATGAATAAAAATACACATACCGAGATGTTTCTGTGAGGACTATACGAGGATGGTTCTGTGAGGACCAAATCCACTCTTGCTCCAAATATTGTAAGCTTGGTGTGAGAAGCACACTATGAGGAGCAAATTCAATTTCTCCTTACCATGCTAATTCTGGAATAAGATAAGGTTATAATACACAACTTATTTTGGAACTAAAATTAAAAGGGCAAATTTCTTAGACTACCCTTACTGTTTAGCTAATTGACAAACTATACCCTTACTGTTTAACTATTGTCTTAAACCACCCCTACTGTTTTGAYAATTGCCATTGCCGTTAAATCGTAATAGAATGGATGAAATGTCCCTTTTGCCCTTAAGTTGTCATTTGAATCTCCCTCGATCCCATTTTCCTCTCCCCTCATTCTCTCTCTATCCCTTCTCTTGCATTGTTTCTAACAACTACAACGGCGACCATGTCAGGCTTTACAGTTGTTTGGAGGCGAGGGGTGGAATTTAACCATGGTGACATGACTAAAATATCACAAAGTTTACGTAGAAGAGCATTATGGCCAAAGTCACCATTAGGATTGACATCCCAACCACTGTGCCAAACTTTCCAGCAACTACAGCTTTTTCTGAGCTAGGTCTCTTCTCAACTGACCCAGAATGAGTGGTGCTTGCAGCAGCCTGAGTTATCTGGGTTTGGTAATGTGGAGGTGACCTTGAATGAGAAGTCAATGTTACCCGTTGACTATGCTTCGTCTTGGGTTGGTTTTCCAACAAGCTTCCGTGATACGATGATCCATGCTTCCAATATCTAGTGAGTAATGAAGAGGGTTTGGTTCTCATGGTTAGGGCTGTTCACGGGTCGGGTTGGGTCGGTTTACTGGCAATTTTCCAACCGACCCGACCTGGTCAGTTTACCTAGAAATGAAACTGAAACCGACCCAGTACTAAGTAAAACCGACCTGGTCGGTTTGAATCGGTTTGGGTCGGTTTTGTGAATGATTCTCTCGGTGTGAACGGTAAAAGATTCAAGTCTAAGAAAGCAAAGGCTGGATGCCTGGAAATTAAAAATGATTTGATGGATTTAAACTGATATTTTATATATCAGAAATTTTACATATAATATGTATATTTCTGAAATAAAGCTAATATATATATATATATATCTAAGTTGGTTTGGGTYGGTTCGGTTTCGGTTTATGTTTTTTTGTAACCCAAAACCGATCGATGTTGAAGAAAAACCGGCCAACTCAAGTTGGATCGGACGGAGTTGGTCGGTTTGGGTCTTGTTATGAACAGCCCTAGTCATGGTTGTCAAGATTCTTTTGATTGGATGGCTTGTAGATGAGATTGAAGAGGGAGAACAAAGAATGGAAGGGGGGCGGAGGAAGAAGAAGATCATTGCTGCTACTACTGCAAGTTGTAGTGGCGATGACAATTTTGGTCAATCCAGAAACAAACAGAGGAGAAGAGGGGTGGAGGCAGCGACACCAGCGATTTTGGTCGATCCAAAAATAGACGGAGGAGAAGGGGACGGGGGAAGAACTAGCTAAATCTCCTTTACAACGAAACGTGAATTGCAGATGACGATGGTTTGCTAGTAGAGTGATCTAATGACAAAATGTGAGTTGTAGATGATGGAGGCCTGCTGGCAGAGAGATAAAGATAGATAGATAGATAGATAGATATAGAGAGAGAGAGAGAGAGAAAAGGCTTCTGTGAGTTGCAAACAACGTTTGCAGCTAGCTAGTTGGGCGGAGGTGGGATTTCCGACATGGCAGCAGCTGTGGGCCCTCACAAATGCATAGGTAGATGTGTTTGGGGGTGAATGACAAATTATGAGTGCTAGTGAATCCCTTGTCACCATTGATCTCTCTTTCCCGGTATGCGAACAGGAAGCCCTTGTCATCGTAGATCAAAGCCCCTATGTTCAACCTAGACTGTTTGGCTTCAAGTAGAAGCCTTGTTAGGAGGAGAAGGGGTGATTCGTTGAGAGCAAAAGACCGTGGCTGACAACCCGTCGACGCCATCTCTCTCTCTTATGTCTCCTCTTCCCTCCTTTGAAATGTCGGATCTGAAAACCTATGTAATAGTCCCGCTCACCAGCAGTGATTCTTGCATGGATTAGAAAAAAGGGATGGTGGGCAAATATTGGGTTTGGAAAAAAAAATTATACATCACATGATGTCATGTATGTACATATTTTAATGGATATGGGTAGAGTTAGTCAATTATTTAGAAAATAATAGAAATGGTGCAAAATAATASTTAAACAGTAAGGTACAATTTCTCAATTAACTAAACAGTAGGAATAATTTAAAAAATTTGCCCAGTTAGAACATAAAGCATCACACTAACCTCGCAAGACATCCCAACCGCACATTTAGAAATTTTGTTGTTCATGGAGAAATGTCATGAGGAGTGCCGATAGCAAATCCGAATTCGGTTAGATTTTTTCTTTAGAGATCGTAATGAAATCCAGACAAATCGTGCCTCACACACGMACATAGCATCCCTGCATTAAAATTAAGCAGGGAAAATATTCTAATGCATGGCTGAAAGCGCTGTGAGGTGCGCTGTACGAGGACTAAATCCAATTCATTGTAGCGAGCTCATTTATTAATTCTGAGGTTGGAAGTTCCAATCAACCTTTTCCGAGAACGCTTTGGCAGAGCCACCGACGAGATCGAAATCTGTCCTCACAGAACCGTACTTAAACCGTTTTGTGTGATATTCTCTATGCACGGCTGCAAAAGGCTGTGAGCACGAGAACCGTTTTGCGAAGGCTGAATCCGGTACATGGGTTTGGTCCTCTAACCAATAGAATTGTAACGCGTGGCGTAGAATTAGAGCCTAACTAAATATGTAAGCCCTACTGTCGTGGTGCGCGCTCAGTCGCTCTGGTTCGTGGCTTATATCTTACTACTTCCAACTTACCGTCTGGGAGTCAGAGCAGATTTTTCTGCTTTTCACGCTGCATCAACAGCGACCTCTCACCGTAATAATGGAATGCAGCGGGGAGTCCAGGGCACTCTTTCCTGGTAGCGTCAAAGCTCTGCTGGACTCCGTTGAAGCTTTTCTCTTCGATTGCGATGGTTAGAACTTCGAAACAGCCATTAATCGCTCAAATTTTCGATTTTTCGGTTTTCACTTCTTACAAATTCCTCAGACCAACATTTTCAAGAAAATTTTTTCACTTCTTAGGCGTCATTTGGAAGGGCGACAAGCTCATTGAAGGAGTGCCTCAGACATTGGAGATGCTCCGTGCCAGGGTAATAGTTTTATACTTCTATTACCTCTCTGTCTCTGGTATTGTTTCTTAGTTGGGTACTGTCATGGAATTTCCATATCAAAACATTTAGAAATTGTATGAGTGGATGTTTTCCTTTTAGCAGGGGAAGAAGATTGTCTTCGTCACAAACAACTCAACAAAATCAAGAAAGCAATATGCAAAAAAGTTCCATTCGCTTGGACTTGTGGTTAGCGAGGTTTGCTATTAGATGAACCAAGGGAAAAATTGTTCGGAGCTTTACAATGCTTTTTTCCTATCAGAGCTTCACGTTCGTAATCCACGCTTTCTCTTTCTCTCTCAGGATGAGATCTTCTCGTCATCGTTCGCTGCAGCCATGTTCTTGAAAACCACAGACTTCCCTCGAGAGAAAAAGGTTAAACATCCAATTTGTTTCTTGGGATTTCCTGATTCGCTGCGTTTTTATCTCCATCAGTTTCTGAACTACTCTCTTTTGCGGGGATTGTAGGTTTATGTGATTGGAGAGGAAGGCATACTGGAAGAGCTTCAACTCGCTGGTTTCACATGTCTTGGTGGTCCTGTAAAAAGCTTCATGCCTTCATTAGTTCTAAAATTAGTTCAAGTTCCATAGTGGTAGTAACAGTAGTGATACCGACTCTAAGCAAACTTTGGGGATTCAGAAATCAGAATATGACAATCCCTTAACCAGAGACAAAATCTTGATGGGGCCAGATGGGCTCATCAGTTTTTGGAATACACAGTTTACTTGGTTGTCATATTGTGTTTGCTAGTCTGAACAATGGCACTCTATTGCAGGAAGACGGGGACAAGAGGGCACAGCTGAAACCAAATTGTCTCTTTGAACATGATGCAACTGTAATGTAACATTATAACTACTTTTTATTGGCATTTTATTTAGTAGATACTTAGAGTAAAGTGGTTCTATTCTGTCTTTCTTTCTATTGGCATTCGAACACCAGAGTTTGATAATCTGGTATAAATCATCAGGGATATTTTCCTAAAAAATTAACAAAATGCTTTTCCATTCCAAAAGAAAGCATTTATTTTTTCAAATCCTAGGAAGGTCTCGTTTTCGATTCTGTTAACATTCCATAAATGTTGTCGCTTTACATGACAAATTTGTCTTTTATATGCTATGAAAAATTAAAGTTATGTTTGATTTGAAGGAAAATGTAGGGAAAGGGAGGGAAAGGTAGGGAAACCTTTACAACCCTTGTATTGGTTTCCCTGACTTTCCTTTCCTTTCCCTACCTTTTCCTTCAAACCAAACATAGGCTAAAGGGAAGGTATTTCCAGGTGCTCTGCAAATGTGTCACTGATATATCTTCTAGTAGCAATTCTTTATTCTTCTTTTTCCTCTTTTCTCAGGTTGGAGCAGTTGTGGTTGGACTTGACCAGTACATCAATTACTACAAGCTCCAGTACGACAAGTCCCCTTCCTTCCTTTCCTGTCTATTGTTTCTACTTATCATGTAATTATCATTTTTTTATGTTATTTGATGTGACAAGAGTTAAAGAGCCCACATGCTAGCATCGGCAAACCTCTGGTACACCAGCCAGGTCAGTTTGTGGTGACAGTACTGTGGAGGAAATGCAACACATACAGGAAATCAAGGTCCAACGTTGAGGCATGGCATGGTAAGAAATGAATTCTATATCATGCGTTCAACTTGGGGATCATATTTACCCAAAACAGTGTTATTGATTAGGTGGCTGTGATATTCATTTTTACCCATGTCAGTGGGGACTAGTAAACATCTGCTGATTCTCCTGCATGTGTCTGGCATCTTCCAGCACCTGAAAACAAGTACATTAAAATGCTTGAATCAATGCCGAAGTTTCTATTCATTTTGACCTGAGATCAAGGGTTATGAAATTTATGTAACATGGTAACAGAGCACTGAAGCCTGGAATACATGAGTAACTGCTAGGGAAACTCTATAGTGGTTGAGAACAAGAAACTGTCCCTGGATATTATGAAATTTATGTAACATGGTAACAGAGCACTGAAGCCTGGAATACATGAGTAACTGCTGGGGAAACTCTATAGTGGTTGAGAACAAGAAACTGTCCCTGGATATCTCCAATATATCATTAATAACCTGCAGGGAGTTCAAAATGTTCAATTGAAACTAGAATGTGAGAACAATAGAATGTACAAATATAAACATATCCCCTTAACCTACTGACGATGGCCTTGGCTAATTTTGACAGTCATTAATTGATTAGTAAGACACCCATGTTACATATTTAAAAATTTTCTAATATGCTTTGGTTTCTACATTTTCTTTCTGAAATGTTCAAGGTGTGCATTGGCAGGTATGGAACTTTATGCATCCGTGAGAATCCTGGGTGCCTCTACATTGCTACCAATCGTGATGCAGTTGGCCATATGACTGATCTGCAAGAATGGCCTGGTTAGTTCTAAGCTGCAACTTCAACCATTTCATCAATGAGACTGAGCTTTACATGTATTTTCATTATATAATAGCTTTGGACCTTGTTTCAGGTGCTGGATGTATTGTTGGTGCCATTTGTGGATCCACTAAGAAGGAGCCAATTGTGGTTGGAAAACCATCGACATTCATGATGGACTTTTTGCTACAGAAGTAAGTGGAATTAGGGATCTTTGTGTATGGACTGTTGAAGATGGGTGTTTTGCCCCCTTCTTTTTCCTTCTTTTTGTGTATGTGTGTGTGGGTGTGGGTGGGGGGGGGTATATTGGGCTTCGAAGTTCATCCACAATGAACTTTACTTACATACTGATTACTGATAACCTTATCTTGCTTATCTCGATCACTGTTCAGTTTGGCATTCTTCAAGAGGGAGAGTCTAATAAATCAGATAAGGCTTTATGTGGCAGGCCATGTACATGGTGTTGAATCTGTATATGATAGGCCTAGATCAATCACTAAGGCCCCTCTATACATGTTCGTTGTAGGTACATATGTATGTGTGCATGCATACATTAAGTGGCTTTTTAATCTTTAATGCAGCATTTTAAGTGAGAAATGTTTCCCTCAAAAAAGAGTGTTCCTGGTTTTGCTCCCTCTCTTTATATATTTGTAACTTAATGATAGTATCATGCAATTATATATTCTACCATATAGATATTATAGAAATTCATTTATCCTTTTTTTTGCAGATTTCAATTACCAACCTCCAAAATGTGCATGGTGGGTGATAGGCTGGACACTGATATTTTATTTGGACAAAATGCTGGTTGCAAAACCCTCCTTGTTTTTACAGGTTAAAAAATTTCCTTTTATTTTGCTTGGTATTTCAGTGTCATTTTGTTTGAAATCTGATAAGACCAAATTTCCCCCATGTTCATTATGAGCTCTCTTGATGTCTCTTGAGATTTTCTTTTTGCAGGTGTGACCACTTTGTCTGATCTTCAAGATCCTTTGAACAACATCCACCCAGATTATTACACTTCTAAAGTGTCTGACATTTTTGAATTATTGGGACAATGAACCCATTGCTATTTTTGATATATTGTCATCCGAAATTTCCATCAATTTGTTTAATTGAAATCTTAATTACATTGCACAAATCCGATGCTGGTGTTGATGCACTCATTATCTTTTCTTTTCCTTATTGAATATGTGTATTCTCTTCACTGCCACATCTGCTTTTGCACCAATTAGTTGTTATGAGTCCTGTCAACTATGATTCCACATGAAATATTATGAACTCCATTTCTATCTATTGCAGTTGTTTCTGATGACAGTGTTAGCTAGAAAATCTCTATGGTAATTCATTTGGTTTTCAAATTTTACTTGAGCATAATGTAATTGAATTCAAGTTCCTTTTCCCGAGCAGTGGATTTGTATTTATTTAGCTGGTTCAAAATGATCAAATCCACTTTTACCAAGAAAAAATGATCAAAGCTACCATAAAAGAATTATTCCTTGCTTTATTTTCAAATTTCAAATTAGAGATACTAGTCTATATCYTCCTTTTCTGACTTAGTTACTGAAAAATGAAAATAAGTTCTTTTGTCGATGCAAGGTTCCAACCAGATAGTTGGTATAGTTATCAAAACAAGAAAAAAAACTGGCTAGTTGGTAAGACTTAAAACTAATGAACTATTAGCAGAAATTAATTAAGATCTACTGGTTGAAGTCCATAATTATTAATACTGTTAATACAAGTTTAAACTAATGTATAATGGGTACCTCCAACATTAAAAATCCAGATATTTGTTACATATATATGGTTTAGTTACACCCTCAAAGCAGCAGAGCATTTCTCATGGAGATGTATTCAACAGACTCATGATGATAATTGAAATAGCAAGGATAGAATAAAAGTTTGTAGTCAGAGTATCAAATATAATCCACAAAGAAGAAGCTGAATGTAAATCATTGTCACATTAAGCACAATTTCTAAATTCTAAGTCTCATGGTTCAGCACTTCCATTGGCATGATTCAATATAAAATTTTTAACAGATTTATCAAAAAAAAATGCTAACATCTGGTATCCTTGTTAGATTTTAGCTATTTAATCATATGGGAATGGGTATGTTCATAAGGTGATGCATATCTCAGTAATGGAGCTCTTTGACCAAAAAGTGCCATATCTATCTATATTTTCAAGTCTTTCTTTATTCTTTTCCTAGACCATAGAATGCAGGGTATGGGATTATTTGCTTGAGGATGCTGGCTATATTGATTTGCTCCTAAAAATGTAGATAATGGTAAGAAGATCTTGACACTACCTTGTACTCGAGTTTATCTCCATCTGCTTTCTTTATTTCAACAATGTATAGTGAAGGCGAGACCTGAAAACAGAAAACCTAGAAATAAATCAATAACTATTTTTTAATAGACAGCATCAATTTATTAAAATAGGAGGATAAAGAAAGATGCCTCGCAATCCCAAGTATGGTAGCTGAGGAGGCCATGCTGAGTTGGGCCTAAAGTATTGGGCCCAGCGTGGCCCGCAAATTTTTGGGTTTAATGCAGGGCTAGGTTCAGGTCTGGCCTGAGCATGAAACCCAGGCCAAAGCCCAACTATTGAGGAAGATCCTTCAATATGGTCATCAAATTAGACCTTAATAAGGCCTACGATTGCCTAGAATGGTCATTTTTGATGGCCGTGTTSGGGAAGTTGGGCCTTAATGATCACTAGCTTTAATTAGTTTATGGCTGTATCTCCTCTGTTGTTTATACTTTTAATATCAATGGTGTTCAAAAGGAAGGGTCACCACATTGAGAGGAATTTGACAAGGGGACCTTTATTCACTATCATTTGATCTTGGCAGCTCAAGCATTTACAGGTTTGATTAAGAAGGATATGGACAAGTGATCACTAGTGCCCATGAAAATTCATCGGAATGCTGCACCAGTTGATCACTTGTTCTACGCTGATGATTGCTTGTTGTTCTTCAAAGAGGATGTTGCTAACGCCTTAACCATTAGTAAAGTGATGCAGTTGTATATCCAAGTGTCGGCCTGTTGGGACAATCTATTAATTGGCAGAAATCAGAGCTATGGTTCACCAGGAATACTCCTTTTAGGTTTCGAAAGGTAATAAGTATAATTTTGAAGATTATGGCTGGGAGTAGTATTTCTAAATATCTTGGCTGCCGACAACCATTGGATGGAAAAAGTTAGAGGTCTTTTCTAATATAGTTGAGAGATGAAAGCCAAAATTCAGGGCTGGAAGTAGAAGTCTCTTGCGCAGGTTGGAGGGAGGTGCTAGTGAATTTCAATAGGGATGGTGGCTCCTCTGTTTGTGATGGGTCACTTTAAGATTTCTCAGGGAGTTTGTTAGAAACTAAATAATAAATTTTTTAACTTCATCTGGGGGCACTTGAATTCTAATCGTTGTCATCATCGTCATGCCTTATTCCATTTATAGGGGGTCGGCTATTTTAATCTTGTTTCGCCATCTCTTTTACTTTTGTAGGTTTAATTCTACGAAGGTACATATTATTTTTAACACTTCTAATATTGATAGATTTTCCTCCATTAACACACTCTCCCTGTAGTTCATTTAATAATTTTTCAAAATAGTTTTTCCGACTTCTTGATTTAATTATCTTTTACCAAGACTCTATCTTCATTTTTAAATGCACCTTATTTTCTAATCCTAAACTAAGGTGGGCTGCGTGGGATAAGATGTGTGCTGTGAAGTTTYGAGGGGGGCTTGGTTTTTGAGAAGCAAGTTTCCTTTAACTGGGTGCTACTGGCTAAGCTAGCTTGGAGGCTGTTACATGATAATAGTACTTTCTGTGGTAGAGAGATGAAGAGTGTGCATTTATAGGGGGTCGACTATTTGAATCCTGTTTCATCATCTCTTTTACTTTAGTAGGTCTAACTCTATGAATGTACACATTATTTTTAACACTACTAATATTGGTATTTTCCTCCATTAGCACATTCTCCCTGTTGTTCATTTAATAATTTTTCAAAATAGTTTTTCCATCCTTTTGATCTTTTACCAAGACTCTTTGATCTTCATCTTTAAATGTACCTTATTTTCTAGTCACTAAGGTTGGTTGCATGGGATAAGATGTGTGCTGTGAAGTTTGGTGGGGGGGGCTTAGATTTTGGGAAGCAAGTTGCTTTAACTGGGTGCTGCTGGCTAAGCTAGCTTGGTGGTTGTTACATGATCATAGTACTCTATGGGGTAGAGTGATGAAGAGTGTGCATTTTCCCTGGTGTTCCATTGGAGGCTGTTGTTGAAAGGAATACCTCCTGGGGATGGCGTAGCCTGATGCATGGTTGCAGTTATTAAAGTAAGGCTTGAAATGGAGGATTGGCGATGGGGCTCGAGTTAAGAAATGGGAGAATCCGTGGGTCCCTGACCTCCCACATTTTAGAATAATTTCAGTAAGACCTCATGATCGCCCGGTTGTTTTTGTTAGAGATCTGATGCTGGCACATCCTAGATGATGGAATATAAAGCTCCTGACAATTTTGTTCACAGAAGTTAATGCTATTTTGAAAATTAGTTAGGGTGGGTTGCTGAGGAGGATAAGTTCATATGGCGGCGGTTCAGCACATACGGTCAGTGTAAGGTCAATTTTGGCTACTATGTAGCCTGGTCGCTTCATTAGGAAAGCAAAGGTCCCAAAGGAGGCGTCGCCGGACAAGAAGGTATGAGGAGTTACCCAAGAAAATCCAAAATTTTCTCTGGTGAGCTTGTAGCGGTGCATTGGCTATTAATAAGAATCTAGTCATCAGAAACATCTCGGATACAATGGGGTGTCCTCATTGTGGAGCATCTGAAGAGGACTTGACACACCTCTTATTGGATTGTCACTTTGCCAGTCCTGTTTGATTTGCGGGTTGTTTGAGTTTCAGGTCAGCTGATATGAATCAATGGCCGTTTGCAGAGTGGGTGGTTGGCTGGCTTCAAAATAATGATTCCTTCGGTGGTTAGACTGGTAAGAGGGCCTTCCTTGCAATCTCTTGCTGGAATATTTGGAAGTGTTCAGAATGATTTGGTGTTTGGAGGGGAGTATTCTTCATCTCTTCAAGTCTTACAGGCAAGCTTGAAGTTGCTGGCTGAAATTAAACAGTCAAGAGATGGGGTTTTGTGGGAGGAGCTGCCAGAAGGCATGGAGGAGGGGGTGTCCAGGGGAGTTTCTTTTGATGGAACTTTGATTGAGATTCCTTCATAAGCTGTGATGCTAGTGTTCATAAGGCCTCTGGTGTGTCGGGGTTGGCTTGGGCGGTTATAGATAGTGATGGCCGAGTTTTGGCTTATAGAGGTGCCAAGGTCCAGTGCTTTGATGTTTTAACGGCAGAGGTGCTTGCAATTCTCATGGGATGCAAGGAAGCTTTTAGGCTGGGCCTTCAACGTGTAGCAGTTCTTTCAGATTCTCTTCTTGCTACCTCTTTAGCAAAGGGCRAGTCCTTCGAGTTCCTTCTTCTCCCCTTGCTCCATTTTGGAGTGACATACTTACCTTTCTCAGCCATTGTGTATCATTTAGCTGGCATTTTGTCAGGCAATTGAAGAATAGCGTCACTCATCAAGTGGCCAATGCTGCATGGAAGCTTCCTCTTTTTGGTGGTCCTCTGGATCTTTTGAGTGCTTTATCTTTGAATTAATCTTTCTTTTACCAATAAAAAGCCTAGAAATTTGCTTGCCAGGCTTCTTGGCTGGGCTAGAAAGGATCATCACTCCTACCCAAAATAACTGCCCTTAGTTTTTCCCTTGTTTGATGAAGCATCAGCCAATCCCATTCTCTAATTTTTATGTTCATTCAAAATTTGTTGATGATCTATTAGTTTGAGTTGGTCACTTGACATCCCTCCGAAAATGGAGGTGTTGGATCAAATCTATTGCAGATCGGGTTGGCCTGGGTTAATGTTTTACACTGTTTTGGGCTTGGGCTTCAGGTTGGCCCATTCAAAATTTGACAGAACTCCTAACCCAAGCCCGCTCAAGTTGCACCCCTAATTAAACCTGTGGAACTGCGGGCTCTCTGTGGTAGGGTTAGGTAATATCAAACAAAGAAGTTCATTTTGCACTTACAATATTATCCTTTGTCAGTATTTTTATTTCTTGTATTGTTACGAGATTCTCTCTTCCTAAAGCGCCTTTAATCAACATTGCCGAATCCTCTTCCATTTCCATGTTGTATCAACTCTTGTAGAGCTTCCATGTCCAAGCGGTCTTAAGAAAGATGGCCATTACTATCCCTAAAAGTCCTGCTGTTGCTTGATGGACCTAGATTGCCCTTATTATACCC